TCGTTCATTCATACATCTATACAATGAAACGAACACATATTACACACACACGCACACATACACACACATACATACACACACGCGCCGGCTTGGCTCACGTGTATTTTTTCCCGGGCAATTTTCTCATTCCATGCAGTAAGGTGAATGTTTCTTTTCTTTCTTTCTTTCAGTTCTTATTTCTTTCATCCTTCCTAACACATCACGATTCAAGTTACTGTTGAGTTGATAGTGGCTTTTCGTTCAAAAATAATCCATCGAGATTTATTTTTAAAAAAATCATGTTTTGCAAAAATTCTATTTTTCACGGTTGAGCTTTTTATATACAAATATAGTATATGTTGAGCTTCACACATGTGTGTGTGTGTGTGGGTTTGTAGAGAGAGAAAGAGAGAGAGAAAGACTACTATAATATACACTTTATAATATAAAGTTTATATGTATATATATATATAAATATATGTGTGTGTTGTATGTGTGCTTGTGTTGAGTCATATGTGTAAGAAGGAAACAGTATTTCTTTATAACATGACCGACTGGGTTCTTTGCAATACAAGTCAATTTTTGCAAAAATTCGTAACCTATGTTCTATCAAAGTTTACTTTTAATCTAAACAAAGGTCCTTTAAATTTCCCTAAATGAGTTGACGGCCTTCGTTTTCAGAAGTTAGCTTTATTTTGTTTGGCCATCACGAAATAAGGACTGAGTGATAATATTTAACTGATTCAAACTTATGTATATGCATATAAATCAATTTTCTACTGTTAAAATTTAAAATGAATTCTGCGTTGGTGGACGTTCTCTCGTCGTCCTACTCCAAATCGCCGCAGTCCACAGAAAAGCAACATGAAGTTTTTTTTGGTAATACGAACGTCTCTAACTTCGACCCAACAACTACACTAACTACTGCATCGACCACCGTTTGTACCACCACCACAACTCCACCAACAACAGGTGTAGGATGTAGTACTGCTACTGCTACTGCTGCTGCCACTGCAGCTACGACAGCAAATATTGCTTTAACTCCTACCACAAAAAGTACTGCAAACGCAACTACAACCACAACAGTAACCATAGCTCCAACAAGTTCTCTACTGAGTTTGAAATCAGAACGACGACACTGCCTCTATCTCTCTGATGATCCAATTAGATTTGAACCTGTCAGTGAAGTTACCTCCGTTTTCTTCGATGAATCCAACCAGCAAGTCGGTTTTTAGTTTAGGCTCTTTTTTGGCTTATAATACTTTATTAATACTTTATTAAGTTTGTTGCTTACATTTTGTTAAATTAAAATTTTTTATTATTATTATAAAATGGGTTAGGGTTAGGGTTATAATTAATATAACTGTATGTCATTTGTATGTTGTGCGTGTGTGTGTGTGTGTTATTATTTTTTGTACTGATATGTTGTATCTGTTAGAAAAGATTTGTTAAAAAAAATCACATGAGATTTTCAAATGAATCATTTCTGTTTTTTTTTTTGAGTAGAATCTAGAATATATCCCTCGTATGATTAAATTAAAAAGTTAAATCAATATATTATGATGTTAGATGGTTGGTTGTATCATAGCTGTTTAAGCAATGTCTCTTACTACATAACGTTCACTAGTGACATGAGAATGATATATCACTAGTCACATGATAGAAGAAATGGTATATTAAATAGAGTATCATGTATTAAATTATAAAATGATATATCAAACATGAAATGATATAGCAAATTTGAAACAATATATTGAATAAAAAATAATATATTAAATAAGGATGATAAATTA